AGTCCCTTGGCCCTTAAAGGGAAAAGGTTGCCTACCCCTGGTCTAGACTGAGGGAAGCATTAGTACCACTCTATTCTGCTTTCGTCAGGACACACCTGGAATACTGTGTCCAGTTCTGGGCACCACAATTCAAAAAGGATGTTGACAAGCTAGACTGTGTCCAAAAGAGGGCAACCAAAATGGTGAAAAATCTGGAAACCATGGCCTCTGAAGAGTGACTGAGGGAACTAGGTATGTTTAGCCTGAAAAATAGAAAGTTAAGAGGTGATATGATAGTCCTGTTTAAATATTTGAAAGGATGTCATGTTGAGGCTGGAACAAGCTTGTTTTCTGCTGCTCCAGAAACTAGGATCCAAAGCAATGAATGCAGACTATAGGAAAAGAGATTCCACCTCAACATCTAGAAGAATTTCATGATAGTAAGAGCTGTCTGAAAGTGGAACACACTCCCTTGAACTGTGATGGAGTCTCCTTCTTTGGAGGTTTTTAAAGAGAGGCTGAATAGCCATCTGTCAAGGGTGTTCTGATTGTGTATTCCTGCATGGCAGGGGGTTGGATTGTGGCCTCTTCCAACTCTGTGATTCTATGAGTATGAGAACAACAAAAATGGGGAAGTTTTTTGTTTTGGTTTTTTTAGGCTTTGTCATTGGCAGTGGTTCTACAGAAGACTATAGTGAAATGAATGAGTCTTCACAGGCTTGAATTATGGGGAACAGTTTATTCTTGATGTGGAAAAAAAACAACCACCCAAAATAAATGACCAGAAAACATTTGATTCACATCAAGTCTTCTGAGATTGCTGTTTCTCTAAACCCTTACAGAATTGCTATCTCTGCAAAATTTCCAGAAAGTAAGGTGTGTGGGTTTCGGCATAACCAGGTTGGCAAGATCACAAAGGCATCATTTTCCACCCTGTAGCTTTTCAAATTAACCTGAAGCCATGTAATCTCTGGCTTCTGTTTTTTTGTACCATTAATTTCCACCTTCACAGCCTATTTGGTAATGAACTCTACTTTCTCCCTGACTCTGCACTCCGCCTACCTCCTTTATACTGCCTCCTTTAATGGTCCCAGTTTGTTTGCTTATATTCCCTTCTAATTTTATGTGAAAGTTTCTCTTGATGTTTGCTTCTTTCTAGCAAGTTCTGGATTTTTTTTTCTTTTCTCAACAGAATCAACTCAAAGCTTCTCTGTTCCACATGAGATGCAAAATCCAGGCACCAGTTCTTGTCATTCAACTGCTATGAAAAAGCTCAATTTTTGACAGTTCAGCTGTACTGCAAGTAAGAAATGGCATATGTTCATCTTGGTAAAGTATCAGCAGTTATCATTGCTTGAGCGGCTACTGTAATGTATGTATATATATATATATATATATATATATATATATATATATATATATATATGCTAACAATATATTTTAAAATAATGTTAACTCCCACTTGTGCACAAATAAATGAAAATTAAAATAGCAATGAAATCACATTAAGGTCAGTCCTACCATTGAATGAAGCACCTGTCATAGCAGGCCTCCAGCCATTTTGCTCTATTGGAAAACAAAATTGTGATCTTAGTTCCATCTAGAGTAGACTCATTGAATAAATGGAATTTAATTATGTGTTGGCTCACCATTCAACAATTGAGCAATTGGATCCACTCTAGTTGGAAATAACCAACAGGATTCAAACCAGAGTGTGTTTGTATCATAACAGAACTCTCTAATTCAGGGGTAGGCAACCTAAGG